CGGCTAGGTACTAATGTAGACTTTGTTTGTGTCCCCTAAACAAAATAGATCAGTTTCATTATTACAATAAATTAGCTGCGGTCGCGGGGCAAGGATCCTTAACAATAAGCTATGAGAAAATAAAATATACATTAGGGGTAGATTGAAACGATAAACGGGGATTGCACAAATGAACAATAATCCAGACCGGGAAGGGAAAATGAATACTAATTCAAAGGATCGAGAGTTACTAACATACGTATTTGGTAGTTTTTCTCATTGTCAGGAAATTTTGTGAGAATACCAATGTAAGATCAGTGCTCGACGTTTCTGATTCCACTTCATACTCAATGGAACATCATCTCCAGCGGGTTACGCAATCACAAAACCGTGAGCCCGAGACCTCAGGGCCCTCATCACGTACGCCGATCATTTCCAACCGGTAGAAACACGACTCCCAAAGAAATATGAACATATGTGAAGCAAGACCTAAGCAGGAATCGAGAAATTTGGTCTCAACGTGTATCAGAGATGAAACATGCTTCCGCCATGGTATATTCCCGTAAACTGTTCCAGCTCACCCAGGTAATCGGTAGAAAAGCACTGGGTGTGAGCGTAAACGATTTGTGAAGCTGATGACGCGGCTATTTACTTCGGGGCACAGCTAAACTGGTCAGCTTCTACAGTTATCCCAGCACATCCTGAGGTCGATCTCGACAGAACCACGATCTGAGGCAGAAACATGCAAGGAAATAGGTTCTTCCCCCAGCTTTATTTAAAGATAGTGGAATAAAGCTTATTCTCAAACGTTTCGAACCGATTGCCGTCCTCATCTGTAAGAAAAACCCATGCGGCGACTACAACGACAGAAGTATAGATCAAATCCCAAAAGCGTCAAAGTTGTTGGCGTCCGGCACGCTTCGCAGTGTACAAGACGTGCGGCAAGCACATCCGAGAAGAAGACTGGGTTTATTCTTTATTTTTTATTATAAACCAGTGTGTGATAAACAGCAGACGGGGCAGACTCAATAGTCAAGATGACCTGCTGTTCAGTGATGGCAACTGGTAACCTAAGCCCCGGGACGTGGAGTGACGAACCACATAAGACCCCACTAAGTCGGACGTGGTATAGAACCGGGCGATAGTAAAGCTCACTACCACTGAAGTTGGGTGGCGGAGGCACGGCTCGAACCTGGGACTACAGAGTCCAAAGCACCCCGCTGACAGCGACTAAACCACTGCGCCACCGCGCACTAGTCGTGCATGCATCGATCGAATCTTCGCTTTTCCGATGGTTTCTAGAACATCATCCAGTTTTCCAGAGACCAACGACCGTTGTGTTCTCATACATCCAAGCGACCCTCAATCCCATTAAGAAGACTGCACCAAGGAATTGTTTGTTGAGAAACGGAGTATCTGAAAAGTACGTATCGATCATCAAAGAGTTGTATTGTCATCTACTGAGTTGGGTTAGGCTCTATGACTAGCTTTCGCCACCGTTTGCCGTCTCCGATGGATTTCGACAAGGCTGACCTATATTCCCATTTCTTTTCAAATTCGCCGTATAGGGTCGTCCATAAAATACTTTTCTCGGTCTAACAAGCAATGGAGTTGAATTCCTCCCATGGCACAAAGTTCTTGACTCAGAATATGCTGACGAAAGTGCTTTGGAGAGCGGCAATGCTCACGCAGTTCAACATGCTTTGAACAACCTCCAATGGCTCGAACGTGTTCTGCGTGTGCCTGACCATCTGCATCTCTGTGCTCTCTTCGCACGTAGTGTGCAAGGCTGAACAAAGTGATGCGCCGGTTAGGTAATGGCTCACAGTAGGGTTATCAATAAGTTAGCCTCAGAATCTGCTTTGGTTGATACCCAAAAATGTTGTTTATCGAGGTTTGGAGATAGTTCTGAATGGAATGGTGGCGCAAATATTGTACGGTCTACTAGCGGAATGGCGTAAGTTCCTCTTACTAGTATAATCCTATTATTCTGTCGACCAATACACATACTTGGGCTATGTTGCTAATACTGTGTCAAGTAAAAATAAAAAGTGTATCGATTTTCTGTAACAAACCGAACACCCTGTTTTGAAGTAGTCATTGGAAATTTGGAAAATTCATCTTGCGCGGCGTTTGATAAGCGCACCCCTTCACGAATTGACTAATAAGATTCACTCTTTTCTGATGTGCGTCTGCACATTTTCCGGAAAGAAAGTGGACCCTCATTTAGAAACATTATCAGGCCAGAAAGCCTCGGCAGCCATTTGCGTCGCAACTAGGTGAATGTGAGGTGGTCAGTATCTCGGTCAGATAACGGAGACAGTTGGTATTCGCGTTTCAGTGGGAGTGAACAGAACAACGCGCGTTAAGTCCAAGCACCAGATACATGCCTTTCATATCGCCACTGCATAGCTTTGGGTCGTGTGAAACCGAGACCAATGGAGCTCAGACAGGTCAGCTGTAATCCAACCGCTTCTTTGGTGCCAAAATGTTCATGATGCAAACGGATCGGGTCAGGGATATGAAGTGCAGATACAAGGACAGCGAAGATCACAAACGAACAGCTTGGCTTCGTTGCATTGGTTCAGTTTCAGTTTCAGTTTGAACAACCATTAACCATGCACTTTCGTGCGCCGGTTTTGGTTGCTGTCTTTTGGCTGCCCATTTGGACGAAGAATAAGAAAGGAAAGTTGAAAGTGGATTCGAAAGGAAAATGGAGAAGTTCAGTGGACTAAGGTTGGGAAGAAATTGAGATGCACGAACGCCACTGTTTACGACACCCATCCATATCGCTGTGTCTCTAGCCATCGGTTACGATCATCCCGAGGTCTCCAGCCAGGGAGCCTAACAGGACCTATGTGACCCAGTTTCCTGGTTAGGGTTTTCATACCCTCGTGCCAGGTCTTAACTTGACCACCCTTGGCTTTTTTCCACTCTGTATCTTCTTCGGCGAACATCGCTCGCCGTGGTAACCTACCTGGTGACATGCGTAGCACATGTCCCAGCCAACGTAATCTATGGAGGTCGATCACTTGCTCCAAAACTCTGTTGCATTAGTGCTTACTTGAGGCTTCAATCAGTGGATGCGGCACAAACAGGGCAGTTTATCTGTTCACTTGGATTACGTGATTACCTGTGTGTTGGTCGTGAATGTGTCCCCGTAGTCCAATTGTAATAGGGTGTGCTAATCACGGTGCGGTATCTTTCATCGAATGTTTGGCTAACGACGGTCGTTCGGATGAATCCTGTAGCAATGACTGGGATTCGTGTCCGTTGTCCGGATGATACCCACCACTTAGAGACCAAAATAGTGAGTCAAGTGGAGATGAAAACCCTTAGGAATTTGTTCCACGACGAAGTGAATTCGCTTATGCGAACCAATTAGACGAACAGGAGTGAACCATGTAACGAATCTAACGCGAATCCGTGGGAACACCTACCGCAAATCACATCGGAATTTTTAACACGTTGCTGGTCCCGGTTCAGGGAGTGACACTATGGTCAGTTTAGACACAACACTACTTGTTTATTCAAGCTTTTGTTTGTTTTATTCTAATACAGAGCGTATTAGGAGAAAAGTTTCCTAACGGGATATCCTTTACTGTTAACTACGGGGTTAGAATCCGTGAGCTTTACAGTACAAATCTTCCAATTCGGTCGCTCCTGGGGGCTGAGTTGGGGGAAATTCTACAGTAGGATCATGGAGACAATGTTTTACGATATAAGTCAAGTCCAATAGTTTCCCCAACAAAGCTGGTTGCTCTACGGAGTGAGTGAGCTCGTTTTTTAATCGCATGCATAGGTGCGATAAAAAATAGGGGAGAAGAAGGAGATATGAACCCCATGATCACGAGAACCTATTACCGTGCGATTGAGGAGCAGCAACCTCGACTCACGAACCGGATGACGCCCCCCAGCAAGCTGAGCGTGATAGTGAACAGCGAAGCTGATAATCACCAAAAGCCATGGGTTGCAAGTGTACTTTCAGTTTGAGAAAATGAATTCATGAAAACGAATGAAAGATACAGTACATCCAATTTATTTTACTAGCCAGTTGGCTTCAGCTCATCTCAGACCCTCAGATCGACTTGTTCGGTCAATCAACAAAGTGTAATAAATACCCCGTGCGAATCTTTTATTTCTTTAAATGAGCAAGTGATCAGGACGCAAATGTTGTGCGGGAAAATAATGTGGAGAAAAAGCTTGCTTTGAGGGCTTTATCTGACGACCGCTTACAGCACATTATATAGCTCACGGGACAAATGTAGGAAGGTAGAAAAGTTGATTTTTAGTATTTAAAATTGAGGGAGAGGAGAGTAGTTTGGACATACACGTTCAACCACTAACCGCATAATTAGTGACAGATTTTCGGATTGAATTTTCAACTGGAATGTTAGGTGAGTGCATCTCGGACACGTGGGCGCAGGAGGGCGATAAGGGGGGTAGTGTTTGGTCTAATTGCTATCGCCTTTGTTGCCGATAAGAATTGAGTTTTGAAATCCTTGAACCGGACCGCTTTGGTCGAATGGATTGGAGCAGATGGCTCCCGCACATCAACAGTGTGTGTGTGTGTAGCAACTGTGCACGCACATGCGTTCAACGGTCTTGGACTGAGCTCATTTAGACGGTCTCTTATCCTATCAGTACCGTTTTTCCCATCTCTCTACCACTTTAAATATTAACAGTCTGATTTACCACCTCCCTACTTTGTTCCCTCAGTTATGTAACCTACCGTAATTGGCCGGCAAATGAAGAACTTGAGGAAGCTAGTTTGCCCCATTGTTGTTCTTAAAAATATCATGTTAGATCTCGAACAGCGATGGAAATCGTGGTCATAGAGGGAGGGGGGCGGTTGGATTAAATAAGACAGCTTCGCTTACCTTTACCAATATGGCGTCGTGTGTTCTCGATGGTGGAGTTTCGGTTCACGTTAGAGAGAAGACCGAGACAGAATCGATCGGAATTGTTGGATGGATCGGTGAATCCATCGACAATTATGCTAGGCTGAGACGCATTGAACGCCTCACCAACCCGATTGTTCAACTCATAATAGACAACAGAACACCAGTACTTCGGTTCCTGATAAGTGACCGGATGAACGTCTGAAAACGAATAGGCAAGTGAAAAGGACACTCGATAGTGGTCAGCCAGTAAGTACAAGTTGACTTGAGATCTACAACAGCCATAGAACAACAGATTAAAATCAAGTTGGGCACAGTCGGTGAGAAGGTTAAAAAACTCAATAAAGAGACCACCTATCACGGAAAAATCAAGGAAATTAAATTGTTGTGACTTTAGTTGGTACCCCTCGGGATTAAAGCGAAGAAAAAGACGATCTTGCCTTAAAGCAATAATAGAAGAGGTTGTGGCGCCATGCCATTCGGAGAACATGTGGTGGCTACAGAAGACCGATATGGGGTTCAAATATGGGGCAGACCAGGGTGTCGAGATAAACAACGTACAAGCTTGCAGTAATAACCAAGGTGGCTATGCGCATCCGTGAGTAACGGATGCATCTGGTAGAAATTCAACGCTTGGCATTTGTTCATGCTGGAATGGGCCAAGCGGCACAAACGTACTGACCGCTAGGTCGAGCAGAAGGTGTGGACACCAAAGTCTGTTGTCTGTGCATGTCTGTAGATGTATGAATGAGTGGGCGGGGTGATGTGCGTATGTGTATAGCACGCTTTTT